CTACCGCTGGGACGGTCTACCTACACTCGCCGAATTAGTCTACAATTCTTGCGGCAAGGATCGGAAAGGGATCGAGATTGCTACCCAGTCATCGAACATAATGGATGTCATAAAATCAGTATTTATGATTTTGGGTGCTGCTCAAGCAAGCTCTGCGAACAGTGCAGCCGCACGATTCCTCTTCGGCGCATGTATTAGTGTGCAGGGAGAAGCAGACCCATGCAAGGAAGAATTCACCGAGGCAGCAACGGGTGTATAAAGGCAGGTCTCGAACAGATCCTTCGCAGGCTTGGCGGGTGGTTCGAACCCCAAGAGATTGAAATTCATGGATGCCAACACGGCCGCGTGGTCAGACTCGGTTGCCCTTAACTGAAACCTTCGCTGGCATAACTCCTTGCTCGCACACTGTACAATACGAAGTTGGATGTGCGGCCCAACCCCCACCCCCGCACCCACATCCCAACCCTTCCACGGTAACTTGGAGCATTGCAGAAAAGGGTCCTGTCATCACCTCCAGCGACGAGATCGGCGAGGTCACTCCATTCGAGGTAGTGGGAACTGAGCTCGGAACCTCGAAAGTTTAACTCAGATCTCGCAATGTCCTGACCAAGTCCGATGGTTGTTCAGAGCAATTTATGACGGTTTCGCCACGAGTGGTGCACTTCATAGCGGATGAGCAGACGTCGATTCGGTGATGACCACTTGAAGTTAGGACATGCTATGAGTCCAGGCACTCACGCTGGCCTAAAACTGCCCGCAAGCTCGGATTAGCCCTTTCCGCTCCTTTACTACGAGCCTATAGCCCATACTCCGCTCTCAACGGAATCGACGTTTGGAAAGCAGAAGCCAAGCTCCTCAACTGTCTTCGGATTCATTTAGCCTTGGGCTCTAGTGTTGTTTTGAGGTCGCTGTTGCAGGATGCCGCAATTCCGTCCTAGCTGTCGCAGGGGCCATACTCTGTCCTCAACTCTTACATCCCGGCCCGAAGAATAGTGATCTTTTGCAATCAGGTTGGGACTCTCTGCTTCTCACATCACAGCAGCCGTGCCTCCACAACAGTGGCCAGCTTTGCCGGCGGGAGCACGACTTCGTTGTCGTCCTGAAGCGGGGATTGCAAGTTACTTAAGGGCGCACTTAGGCCCGGCAAGGGTTTGTCAGGTCAGTAGAGTCATGTCGTGTTGAGGCCGATTTCTAACTGTTTAGGGTCGTGTGCCTGAACCGGGACGCTGGACGCCGTTCGGTGCGTGCTCCACGTGCAGAACTGCGCCACAGCCCGGTCGTTCGAGACTTATCTGTGGAGGTCTGTGTTGAGTTTCAGTAGTCTCTTGGGTCGAGTTCCCAAGCCGCAAGTCATGCATCCGCGAAGGAACCTGAACTTTCCGGCCTGTGGCAGATCCGTTTTGGAGTACGGCGGCTCTTCCGCCGGCTGCGGACGGCCTCGGCGAGCGCGCGCAAACGCAAAGGTTTCGGCCAGATTTGCGTGAAGGATGAGGGCTCTTGGCATATAAGGTTATAGCTAGGGTAACTACACGTATGACGAAAAGCTTACAGCCATACTGTACCACACTCACTGAGTTTTAAGTCCGTTGTTTACCTGATGTTGCCTCCACCATTGCCATCATTGTTCGTTTCGGATTCAGCGGATACCTTTGCGCGGCAAACTGGATCGAAATTTGCTTTCTTTCGGACCGGATGACCAGCAGCCACTTTCAAGCTAGAGCCATGATGAAACCACAACCGGCCATATGCAAACGGGTATACGGTATAGGCCACAAGAGCCCCAAGCTTGAGAATACAGTTGGAATGTCTCACTTCGAGAACTCTACTCAGCATCTTACCCCGCAACGTCTGGCACTGTGTCAAATGTTTCCAAACGTGCTACTTTAAACTGCCACTCCGAGGCGACTCTCACGCTCCTCGATCAGCTCCTAGAAGCCTCGAATTCCCCGACTGGCACCACAAAAGCTCCCAACGGCTCCAATACTCCTCTTTTGACATTGGGGAGTGTGGGGGGTCCCAGACTCAAAACCAGTGATAAATTGAGGACTCCGGCTGCAGCCCCTCAGAAATCCTCATGACCAAAATAAGCTTGATATCCAACAAAACGAACCTCTCAAGGTCTTGCCAATTTTCTCAAAGCCGAAGGCCCTTAATGAACCCGCTTTGCTTCCCTTCCTGGGCCCAACGGCTGCAGCCCTTCCAGATCATCAAACCAAGCAGGAAGAGGATGGCGGCCCCCGCCTCAGTGCTAAGCTAAGGGGATTTCGGCTCTTGCTTGCACCCTTCTGCATCAGCGATCGGATTTTTTGGCCCGGGGGAAGTTTGACCTCCCACCCTAGGTGAGGATTTAGGTTCAGGGTTTGGAGTGGGCGAATTACGGTTTCACCAGGCGAGGTTCTGTTGCGTTGACGATTGGAGGTGAGACCTATGTTGAAGTGTGGTCGAATAAGCAAGCTGAAGCCGAACATCCTCAAACAACAACAACTTCGGAGGAACTCAGTGCACGAGGATGCGGGTATCAATAGACCGCGACTGGGAGGGTTGCCGCAAGGCAGGACGCCGAGGAATCTAAAGTGAAACCTACTTTGTATAATCGGTCGGGGAGAACTCAAGACACAAATGTATAGTGGGGGGAGGCCCAGGCAACCCGAATCAGCCTATACATGACACTTGTACCAGCCAGATTGGTCTGGTACGTACAGTTCGCACTTACAAAAAGAGCAGGGGTTCGAACAATATTTCGCAAACAACGATGTGCGGGTGTTACAGTTGCGCAAAGGTACGTGGTTTGAAAGGGCCCATGTCTAACCTGCGCAGTAGCCTAAAACAAGCAAGAATGAAGCGCTAAACACCTTGCCAAGTCCGCCACTGCAATGATGAAGACGATCGGCAAGTCATCGGAGCCGCCCTTCCACGTATAATCTTCGACACCCGCACACTCAAGGCCGGGGCCGGGATGCTCTGCATAGCATGCGCGACTCTCCCAGAGCAGGATGCCCTCTGCAAAATGTCCTACCTTTAGCCAACTTTAGCCGCTAGCGAGCACAACTTGCGGGCCCACCGTCCCTTCCCCTTCAGCAGGTGCGATCGCTGCAGTGACCACGAAGTCCTGCCGGCTCCGAAATTCAAGAAGCACGCGACAAGAACTACTCAGCTTCTCTTCTGCAAAAGTGATGTCAAGATGGAGGAGAGACCGATGTTGCTGTCTTTTGCTGTGATTGCAACCCGGGAGACTTGAACCAGCAGCCGCTGTGAGCAGCGGAGTTTGAATACCACAGACAGGCGCTCCTCGCTGGGAGCGCTGCCAAGCGAAACGAGCTCCTGCAGAGTCTCCCACTGTTCCATGGAAGAGGCTAACAAGACTACTTTGAGGTCTCTTCCACTCCAATTACACCTGGGAAACCTGCAGCAGCACCTTACAATCTTTCAACTTTTCTGTGCTTAGCATCCACCCACTGTAGAGTCATGGTCAAAGACTCCAAACACCATGACTTGTTGAGGATATACGTAACATGTTCAAACATCTCACCTAGTTAGCAACAGCCTGCTCGTCTGTAACACAAGAAGCCGGCACTTGACTTGAACAGCCCACAACTCATCAGCCACGCAATCCGCGATGCAGTCGAACCTCACGGAGTAATGCGTCGTATCCGGCAGTGTTGCTGGCCAGCTCCTCTTCGCAAGCACGCTTGTCGCATGGCAGAAAGCCGCTATGATCGTGACAGGCTGCCGCGGCCACCAACGCAAATGCAGGAGTTTGTTTTTCGAATCAAGCTAGATGGAGAGGTGCAGGCTGCTCATGAACTAATTACCACACAGCACCCTGTCGGTATGCAGAGTCCAACCGCCGCGCGACTAAAGGATTTCAAGGGTTTTCTAGGTTACCTGCCGTTGCTGCATGTTGCACGGAACATGTGGCTTATTTTCTCAAACTTTTACATAATGAAAAAAAGAACACATCGTGGCCTCAAGGCGCTGTCGCACCCAGGGCTCATCCACCTCGTCGACGAGGATGGTGAAGTCCACACGCCAAATGTCACCTGAGCAACGTGTGGCCCTGCCCTGCACCCTAACATATCTCAAACCCGACAGTGTCGCCAGTGCCTCCAGTCGATGCCAACGTCACAACGTAGTTGGGGCCGACGTCTCTAGCACGGCGATATCCGTGAACTACAGGGGAATTGTGGCAGCAAAACCACTTGTAGCGTCTTCCTGCTACACCCAGGGTAATTGACAGTTTTTGCTGGGCGTATGGCATCATGCGGTGCGATGTGTATAAGCCTTGTTCAATCTCCCTGCACGCAAGTGGCACCACTCCGGCCTGGAATGCCTTTACCGCATGTGTGCGCTTCAGACTCAGCTCTAATTCACAACGGCTAACAACGGCTCGAGCTGCCAGCAAGGGCTGGCCTCTGCCTCGGGTCTTCGGACGGAGCCCTTCCTATAAATACAGCTGCTGAGTCGCAGCCCCCAAGCAAAGGACTTGCCGCGCTTCTGACAATCTGAACCCCGGAAGCCGAAGCATCCCAAAGAAGCCCCAACCCCACTGAAATCCAGCGAGGCACTTAGCCGCCGTGGCAGGCTTTGCGAACGTCTTGCCGAAAGTCGCCGAGTGATTGCTCGGGCTTCAGCCTTGATCTGCTGATCTTCGCATGGTGTTTTGCATATGCTCTGCCTGCGACGGCTTTGGGGTTTTGCGATCGGACTTTCGCAAGGCAGGCATGGCTTCGAGACGAGTCTACCGCGACATCAGGGCACGGGCAACCATAACATCACACTCCCACTTCAAACCCAATAACTTACCAATCGATCCGCAGTATTGCCCATGCACCATCTGCCCGTCGCAGAGAAACACACTCAGGCTCGCAATCGGATCTCGGTCCGAGGGATTCAGATTTAGATGCCCGAATCCATGGAAGAAGCAAGCTAGTCTGGGGTACACCACTTGTGCATGCTCCGCGCTTTTGGCTGGTGGTCCTCCTTCTGGAGTTCAAGGCTTCTCACTTGTCCTCGAGATCTTCATCGGGGTTGGGCTTGTTCGAGGTCTTGGTATCGGAATCGTTGCTGGGGTACCACCACAGCACGCCATCAATCGCAGCAAAGACAAAGGCACCGACGGTCAGGGTACAGGCCCCAAAGATCTGGAAGAGATGGTTGGAAGGCCAGGCGAAGGTTTTCTGGGAATACATCTCCACGTCAGGATTTTCAAAGCTCTCATAGCTGGCAAAGCCATCGAGAGCCATTGGCACCCAAATTGCCATCCCCAGTGTCCAGGCTCCAAGGCACATACAGAACGAGGCCCAAAACACGCTCAGGAACTTCTTTCTGGATAGGGACCATGAGCCTCTCAGTCCCATCGCCGTTCCAGTCATGAAGCATGCAGTGCCGTAGTAGGGTGCGGAGTCCGTGAATTGAACTCGCCCATGTGGATCTAGCACATATCCGAAGCTGATCACTTTGCCCGGGATGCCGTTGTACAGGCCGTTCAGGAAGAAAAAGATGCCACCGAACGTGATGACCGTCTGTGAAACGGCTCCATAGGCGTCATCGTTGCGGATCACGAAAGTCCAAGCCGTGAGCGCGCCGCCCGATGCCCAGAGGAAGCCCTCAACGGCCATGCAAATCTGGAAGATCAGCTCCAAGTGTTCCAATCCAGTTGAAGGTGGAAGTGCAAACCAGAATCGCGAACGGGACGATCAGGATGAGTCCTGCAAGGATGTTGCTCCAATCCGCAGCAGCCACTAGCCACCGAGGGGGCACGCGGTTGCATCCCATGTCGGCACCGACTCCCATGCTTGCACTGCGCTGCTTCAGAAGGCTCTTCTTGGCACGGTAGCTTGAGCCACCAATGGGGGCCTTGCTGGCTTTCAGCACTCACAACTGGGACAAGCCTGGCTTTAGGGTTTTCGGGAATAGCGGGTGAAGATCGACAAGAACGGCTACTGTTAGTAGCTGCAGGAGGCGATGCTTCTGAGTGCATGCTTTAAAGGAACTGAAAGCCACCAGCCTTGGCCCTAATATTCGTCCCAGCATGTTGGTATAGCGTGAACTGCTAGTGCTTCTAGTGCATGCTCCACCGCCCATCGCCGCAACTAGATATGCCTCGCCACACGCTACTACTACCTGAATCCGCGAGATGTTGAGCAGCGAACTCACTATCAGGAAAAGTTGATCGAGACAGAAACAACAACAGATTTCGATTGAGCGCCAGGGTGCCGAGATTCAGATGTGTGCTTCCAAAGCCGAAACATGCCAAAACAGGATCTCTGAAGAGAGTCACCACTCTGCATGACTTTCCAAAAAGCGCAACGATGACTGTAAGAACCACACCGACACGTAATGGGAATCCATTGAAGTTCATTCCCTCCTATCATGCAGGAAAGTGGGATTCTGGACTAGGCATAGCTGGCTTGCCGAGCTGCGGATGCTGTAAAGACCGACTGCGGCAGGCCTGTCGTCGGATAGGGCACAAGGTTCCCTGAAGCAGCAGCAGCAAACAGCAGCCTCGCACTTGCATTTTCGTGCTCTAGCTAAGCAACCTATACATACACAGACATTATATATATATATATATGTATGTATATTCATATGCCTATATGTCTATGTGTGCATATACATATGTGGATATATATATATATGTGTGTGTGTGTATGTATGTATGCATGCATTCACTGTGGCGTGAGTTGACGTCAAGCTTGAGACTTCCCGTGAAGGCGAGCCATGAGCAAAGTGCCTGCAGTTGCAATTGCAAGCAAACTCTCCCGTCTGAACGGTATAATCGAGCCCCCAAAGCATCTGCCATGGTGTCTCAATGCCCGTCTCCTTGCATGCTGCTCTTGCAGTTGTTCAAGCAGACGGTAAAGCGCTTGTACGCCATCGTTGATGTAACATAGCTTCGAATAATTTGGTTCTGTCTTAGTCTTGGTTGCTTCACCCATTGTGCTGTTTATCCATTGAAGTTAGCATGTGTTCTCGATCCCTTTCTGTCGCACCCGTTCAGGCAAGCAGTAAAGTAGTTTCCGTGCGCAAATGGGCTCTCTTCGGCCAATGCCGAGTGCCCCTAAACAAGCCGCCTGATTTGTTGTCCAGCAAGGATACCGTCCACTGAGATAAGAGCAAGATCTCTTTTGGCATAGAATACACTGTAACCAAAAAAGCACAACAACACAAACGAGCACCGTCGATTAACGCATGAGCGAACGATGCCAATCACGCACCGTGTATCTGTATGTAAACGCGAACAGTGAGATTTCTGCAAAGACAAATTCTTGAGCTTATAAACAACTCAGAACGATTGCTAGTTGCTAGCTGCTAGCACCGCTGTTGCACACCTATGATGTATGACTAAGCAACAGAACAACAGGTATATCGGGAGAGAGAGAGAGAGAGAAAGCGATAAATTGTGTGTGCGTATGCACAAATGCAGGTTGAACTTTCGAAGTCCTCTCACCCTGCCTAGGTAATCCGCTAGTGTAGACACCACCGCCATCTCCTGGAGGCAGCACGGTGCATTCATGGCGCCAAGAACAGAGTCTCTCACTTGTTCATGGACTGCGCGATCAGGCAGAAAGAACTCTCAAGCCAGGGAAAGATTCGAGCATGAGCGTCCAAAAGATGTGTAGAATCAGCTGAGCCACAGCATCGTCTTGCGTGATGTTCTGGCGGGGAAAGCCCAGCCACCCTGTGATGACGACCTCTACAGAAGCACTGGACATGGCATAGCTTAGGTCTGCATTGTACCTGCAAATGCACGACCTCAAACTGCAACGCCCGCTGCTGTTGAGTCCGGAACCCTAAGCCCACCTGAGTCGCTGTGCCAGCATCCTGCTTAAAACCTAAACCCTGAAACCATGAAACCCTAAGCCCCAAAACCCTACACCCCAAGCCCGAAAACCCTTTCCGAAGCCAAGCTAAACTGCAACCCTATTGAATCCTAAACACTCTAAAACCTGTTGAACCCTAAACCCTATGGAACGCTAGCGCCAGCAAGGGGCCATGCTTTCGTTGCTGCCGTTCCCTGGAGTGCTCTCAGGGACCATCGTCATCCTTTCATATCAAAGGGCTAAGGCGAAGTGCGCAGTCAGGGCCTTTTAAAGAACACATGTTATGCTATACTATCGCATCTAGTCTTGTGTCATTCCAGATTATGATACGCTATGGTTATTCTGTTATGTTTTGTTATGCTTTGTGTTGGTTTTTTGCTGTGTAAATTAACGGTCGACGGTAGTACATTACGAATAATTTATTATATACTAGTTTGAATCATGTTGTACTATACTTGTCATGTTTTGATATACCATATGCAGTCGCCTTATGTTTTCTTACAGTAGGCAGTACCAGCATGTAAGATAACAGATTTCGACAAACTACAGTATTAGATATGGCAGTACACCACGTCTACTGCACTTCCTTAGAATAGAACAATTGCGCCAATATACTATAGTGCGACATAGCATGCAGTATTCTGATACGTTATAGCACGTTCCATTCTATCTAGCCTTGTTATCTTCTGCCGTACTAGGTGTTTTTAGTGTGTATTCATTCTCTATATGATCCTCTCTTCTTTTGTATTTCTATGTGTATATATTTTGTTCGTGTGTATATATATATATATATATAAATGCATATACAGACATAATCATACACACACATGTATATATATATGTATATGTATATACATACATACATACATACATACATACATACATACATACATACATACATATGTATATCATACATGTAAGCTGGCGGCATTTGGGGTGCCATCTGCTCTTTTGGGGTTTTCTCGGTATGGTCTACTTACTATTGTGAGTATCAATGACTTTGCCGGGTTCCTGGAACGATGACAGAAAGAAACTCCATGCCGGGAAAAGTGCTGAGGAAATCCAATTCAGAAAGCTCTCTCTAAGATCTCTTGCGGCCTTCTAACATCAGGTTCCCGAAACCACCTAAACGGCAATCACCACCTGCAAGGTCTTTTGCATCGGAGATGTGCCAGGAGACGATATGCTTTTTTAGAAGCACGCTCTACACGACAGACGATTGTTGCTGGCAAGAAGATGTAAAGCTGGGAAGTACACACAGCTTACAAAAACAGCGTGACAATCTCATCAACCGGCAAAGAGTCGTTGTCGAGGTCGCCGTCAATGTGGAGAACGTGGCCTCCCAATGAAAGTCACTTGCGGGCACAGGAGCGACACCAGACTCAGACAACAAGGAAGCATCTGAAGGCAAGGCGCTGTCTGGCTCTGTGTCGCGGACCTCGTCAAGAGCACAAATACTCAAAGACCTCTCCGACTTCGAACACAGCCAGCCAGAAGCCGGAGCATGCAACATGCACGTGTCACGTTGCATTTGATGCCCAAGTCTAGGTACAAGATCTGCTGATGCCCAGGCCACAGATCCTACAGCGCTGGGCCAAAACCTGTCGAATATCAGAACAATGCTTTGCATCCGGAGTGCGTAGTCGACTCCGTCACCGTTGTCGATGTGACACTGGCTGTTGTCGACCTCTGCTGCAGCAGGGCAAAAAGACAGAGCTGCGCTCATCCTGCGTGACATTTCCGGCAACAAGCAGGCTGGCCGATGCCCAGTGTGGTGAAGCTACCCTCCCCCAAATCTTGCTCTAAATCAGTGCTGATCTTCGGGGCTCCTTCACCCAGGACAAACCGGACAAACCATCACGACAGCAGTCTTCGCTGCAAATGCAACAGTCATGAGCTCACGATTACAAGCGAAAGAAACCATGCTTCCAACCAGGCACGGTCGTAATCATATACTGCGACATACTATATAACGTACTACGACCCAACATGGCGCTCCCTCTGGAGCATCGCACGATACACTTTGTTCAGCGAAGCCACGAGGACGCTGTCACACTGGTGGAGGTCAGCGTCCTGAAAGAAGCTTTCTGAAAGCCCAGGGCCGGCGCCCCACTCACTCAACATCCGAAGCTCAGCATGCTGGGAAGCTCCGAATGTGTAGAGGCCCAACAACGACACAAGATGTCCTGGTCGTGGTAGAAACTGTGGACGTCAGAGTGCTGGTCGCCGTCAGAGACGTGCGGGTCGCACTGCTTGAAGTCGTTGTGGCCTCAACTGTCGCAACTGGGGTGGTCGGTGAACAGGAAGACAAGTTGGTCCGGAGAACTTGCCGTACTTGTAGCTTACATCACGACGGACAGCATGAAGAATCATGGTGCCTTCAATACTTCTTGCCTGAGTTAAGTACAACGCTCCAGCAGGCTTGCAAGGCATGCAGAATAGATCGGCCGGAGAGAAGTAACCTGGTATGAGCATGCCAAGTGACAGTCTTGGTGTACGTCTGGTTTGTGCAGACGGGCACCGGCAAATTCAAGGAGCAGGTGATCTCGACCTTAGCTCTTCTCCAGAACCAAGCATCCGTCCCCCCCTCTAGTCAAATTAAGTGACAACCGCGGAACAACGCCCGCTTCGAGCTGTCATGCTAAATGGCGGGAGCGCAGAGGTTCGACGGAGACTTCTTCTGCGCAGGCTGCGCCGACCATGCTTGGCTTATTGTTCTTGCTGAACATCATGAATATAGTACTTTTGGTTATGAATATGATTTCTATTAATTCTCGTGTTTCAACATGGTACCA